CTGTACGTCACCAAAGCGGTCACCTGGCCCTTCCCGGTGCCCGGATTGTTGGCGGTTTTAAGGGCAGAATCTTTCAAAGATCCCAGAAGGGTCACAACTCCTTAGAGGAGGAAAAGGTTAAAAAAGAATCACAAAAGTAGTTGTACATCTTGTTGGGTCATGGACTTATCTGAGCATCCTTGGAGACAGGCATCTCTTGTTTCACTGGCAATCAAACTGGCTGACCCTGGGTTGTTCTGTCCAGCCACCTATTGTTTATAAGCAGGATGGTATGCGTTTGTCTAAGGAGATTTAAATTTCCACTAGGTACATTATTTGTAGAACTGAGTGATGTTTGTTCCCTTATAATTCACTGATTTCCCCTGTAATACTTGGTTTTAATACTTGGCTCCGTCAGGTTTGAATCTCTGTAAGACGAGGCTATTCCTTTGCAACTGTGCATTTCCCTTTTCTACCTGATTCTTCACAAATTTGGAAATTCAATTTGTAGAAAGCTTAGCCTTATCCTGATCCTTTCAGGTTTCCTCTTGCTTTATATCCAATATCATTATCGATTTGATAGGTGGAAGTGATTTGTAACTTACAGGAAGTCTTGTACATACTTTGGTAAACCTCTCTTTTCATCTCCCAAACTACAAATTGCAGACACTAAGCATGCAGTTTGAGACATTTACACCTCCTATAAACCTTCTAATGTTCTGTAAACATCTTTCAACCCAATTGTTCGAATTAATCCAAGAATTTAGTAGCACAGGTCCTGTTTGGGTGCCCGCATAAAGCTCAGAAAGGTTGATTACCAATTTAACACTGTAGGCACATTAGCAAAGGATCAGTCCCCTATCACATAAGAATTATATATGCATAATCTTGAGAGCACTCACAACTTGACCAAATCCTGCTGGCTACAAAACTGTTAAGGGATGTTAGAAGCATGGCTGCCTCCTCCAGCAGCCGTGGCCAGGACCCTCCTGCCCAGCCGCTGCAGCCCAGCCCTGGGGATTGAGGTCTCTGCCCAGGCCGAGGGATGCAGCTGCTGCTTTCCCAGTTACAGGTTCTACCAGTAACGAAGCTGAGCACATATCCCAGAGAGACACACACACACAGAGGACGTTGACACGTCCGGTCACACAGACTGCAACAGGCAAGGCGTAACAATTAACGGCACTTACGTACAAGATTCACATAAAACATAAACACAGCCAGCCAGATCCCCTTCCTCCTCTTTGGCTGGTGGGGATACAAGTTCACTAGTGAAGGTGTGTGCGTGCACACACTGTCGTGGTTTAATCTCAGTCGGCAACTAAGCACCACGCAGCCGCTCGCTCATTCCCCCCCGGTGGGATGGGGGAGAGAATCGGAAGGGTAAAAGTGAGAAAAACTCGTGGGTTGAGATAAAGACAGTTTAATAGGTTATGCAAAAGCCACGCACGCAAGCAAAGCAAAACAAGGAATTCATTCACTCCTTCCCATTGGCAGGCAGGTGTTCAGCCATCTCCAGGACAGCAGGGCTCCATCACGCGTAGCGGTGACTTGGGAAGACAAACGCCATCACTCCAAACGTCCCCCCCTTCCTTCTTCTTCCCCCAGCTTTATATACTGAGCGTGACGTCCCATGGTATGGAATGTCCCTTTGGCCAGTTGGGGTCAGCTGTCCTGGCTGTGCCCCCTCCCAGCTTCTTGTGCACCTCCAGCCTTCTCAGTCGGTAGAGCAAGGGAAGCTGAAAAGTCCTTGACTAGTGTAAGCACTGCTCAGCAACAACTAAAACATGGGTGTGTTATCATCATTGTTCTCATCCTACAGCCAAAACACAGCACTGTACCAGCTACTAGGAAGGAAATTAACTCTATCCCTGCCGAAACCAGGACACACACACACACACACAAATTACTTTCTAGATGTACAAGCACATGCACATCCGTGTATCCCCCAAGTACTAGCACAGACCCTTCTGTCCTCTCACTGTCCTTGCCTGGATCTTGGCCCTCTTTTAACCCTGCACCACCTGGGATATAATGTGGGGTGTCTGGCATCACTGGAGGATTGGATACAGGGGTAGGACTGGGGCAGTAGCACCAGGTACTAAGCTTGGGTGCTGAGATTTAGGTGCTGCAGCTGAAGTTTTAGAAGGATCCTTATTTTCATTTTTACCTGATTTCCTTTTTTTTTTTTAATTTGTTCTTTCATTTTTGCATTATCATCTTGTAAGCTAGCTATAACAGATTTCTGCTGGCGACTGTTCGTAAGGTAAGCTAATTTGTCCAGGTGAAAGGTTCCCTCATCTGGAAAATGCAGTTCTGGTTTGGCTTAAGCGTAGCTCTTCCACTGGTGAGCAAATTGGACTGACCGCCTGACCCCATTTTTTCCTAATTGTGTGCCATAATTGTGGCACATGGAGCCTAACAGGCTTTTAGGATCTGGACAGGAGGAACTTTGACCCATTTTCCCAATTAGTTTTTGACTTTTCTCAGTGAGCGAGTACAAAGCTAAGACCCGTGCACGGCAAAGGGACAGAAGGAGAAGTTCGGGCATCCCCAGGAAGGCAGAGCTTTGACTCAATCCCCTCAAAGCAAAAAGCTTTCAGAGCCTACTCTCATTCAGCTTATGGATCCTTATGAAACTGAGGGAGCACAAAGCTGAGGCCTGTACATGGCTATGGGATAGAAGTAGAGGTTTGGCAAAGGGATGGAGGGGAGGAGGTTCAGCAAGGGATAGGCGAGGAGGTTTGGGTGTGCCCAAGAAGACAGAGCTTTGACTTTATCCCCTCAAAACCTGAACCCAAACAGGAGACGACTTGTCGTCACCCATGGAGTGCCTCTGGAGCACAACCCAAGCTTTCAGAAGTCTCAAACTAAGCCTATTCTCATTTGGCTAAAAACCCCTTTTAATTCTGTTTCCCCTTAATTTTCCCCCTTTCTTTACATTATAAGCACAAACTAAAATAGCATTGGGTTTGCTTACCGCTGATGAGACGGCCAGCCAGGAGACACAGAAGGGGAGAAGACCACATGCAAGTGAGATTTTTGCAATGAGGATCTCTTACCTCTTGTGGTGGTGCCCCATTGGGTCTCCCCACCGGTTCCAGTCTGGGCGCCTCTGTCAATGTGCAGCCATCCTATTTCTGACACCAAACTGTTGGGAAATTTTTATGGTACCCCTCGAGGCAAATTAAACACACGTTTGTGCTTAAATATAAAAGAAAAATCTAATGAACAATGCATTGGGCAGAGTCCTACCGCAATAAGTGGTTTGACACGCCTGCAAAGATGCATCACAAGCAGATTCCTTATATACTCTTGCCCCAGCACCAATCCTGAGAGTGGTTGTATGGGGCACCTCAGCCCAGCCATGGGCCCATCACCCAGCCCAGCCCTGCTGCCCAAAGGTGGCCCCCAAGCTTGGGCCCCTCAGTGCTTCTATTCCAGGGTGGTCTACAAGACAATGCTGAGGCTGTTTCGTTATCTCATCACCAAGGGAAACTTCACTCCTTTGCAAGGAGTCCTTCTGTCTCCAGCATTCCTGCTTCCAGCAGGTTTAACCCCTTCTGGCAGTTATGCCTCCTTGCCCTCCGTGCCAGATCATTCCTCGGTCACAAAATAACACTGCTGAGCATAAACAATAAGCCTGAGTGGTTTAATGCGATTGGCTTGAAACCAGCATATCGAAGGTTCGATTCCTTCCTTTCTTGTACTTGAACAAAGGCAGGTTCCTCAAAGGTGTGGTATGGGGGTGGGCAGCCGTGGATTCATTCAGTGCTGGTGGTGGTTAGATCTGGTTGTAAGACTTTTCGTTTTGATGAGAAGGCTTCTCAGATGATGAATACTAGTATGACTATGGCTGTTACTGAAATTAGTAAGCCAATAGATGATATAGTGTTTCATAGTCATCTGGGTAGTCTGAGTACCCTTGTGGTATACAGCTAAGCGACCAAGTGTTGTGGGAAGGTTAGCTTCACGACTCTGAATATGACCTAGAAGTGGGCCTTGGCTCATGTAGAGTTCTAGCCCTAGAACTCAGAAACATATCCTAGCCACCTAACTCTCCAAACCTTCTCTCTCAATCTCGCCAGAGCCCAGCTCTGAAATTGAAGCCGTCCAGCGATTGCTCCCACACAAAAGGTGCCAGGACTGCAAGCTGTTGCTGGCCCTCGCCTTCCCTTGGCAGCCCTTCCACAGCCCCACAGACACGTGTTCTTGCTCTACCACCTAGCCCTCACCCTGACCCTTGCTCTTGCTAGAGCCTAGGTCCCGCAAAACCCCCCAGGGCACTCTGGACAGAAGCAGGCGTTGGAAAACCCAGCGAATACCAAGGGGCTCAGTGGAACGCAGCAGGGCCCCACACGGGCATCAGAAAAACCTGGCGAAGCCTCTGGGATACTGTAGAAAACAGCAGAGCCCTGCCAGTGCGTGGGCAAAGCCGGGGCCCTGCTTCCCTCTAGTTTCACTGGGCCTTTCCAGGGCCCAGTCACCCTCCAGAATTTCCTTGGGCCTTCACCGAGCTTTTGCCAATGTCCGGGCGGTTCCCTGCTGCACTCGAGAGTGCCCTGGGGCCTTCACCAGGTGAAACGGAAGGTGCAACCAGTGGCAGCAAAGGTTGGGGTGAGGAAGTGAGGAAGCCTGGCTTGGAAACATTGTTCTGGCAACAAAGGCTCAGTGTTCACTTCAGCACGGCCCAGGATTTCTCAGCTGTCACCACCACGCTGTTGGGTGGGGTCCAACAACTGGCCGGATCAGGTCCTACAGTGCCACAGGAGCGCGGCGCAGCCACAGCCTGTGGACGGCCGCTGCCTCCCTGCCCAAAGCTCAGGGCAGAAATCAACTACCTCTCACTACTTGCAGGTCCTCATCGTGCCACCACCTCCCCCATAGGAAAAGCACAAATTGATGCCCAACATGCAGCCACAGCAGCATTTATTTACAGCTGTGAAGAGAAATCTCATACTAGGGCTTGGAGCCGTCAGGAAAGCTGCTGCAAGGCACCAGGCCTTCTGGGCCCTTCTTTCCCTCTTCCAGTTATTTTATTAATAACGTAGTGATTTATTTTACTGACTGCATGCCCATTAGCTGCTTCTGAAGGCATCCGGGTGCCTCCAGGACTTCCTGGTAAAAGAAAGGCAGGCTTCTTCCATGGTGTTCATTTTATTACAAAATCCTCAGTACATCAACACACCTCAACCCTTAACAGAGCAACCAGAAAGAACAGAAACACAGCAATTAACTGCTCACCAAAATACAACAGGGCTTCCTAGAGAATAAGCATTAACAGGGACCTCCCGTGCCCCACCTAGCAAAGCAGCAGCTCTAACAAGCTCTACCAAAAAGGAGGTCTGCTTTTGTCAGTAGATAGAGCTCCTTCCCACAGATGTTTCAGCAAGGTGGGCAGCACTTGGAGGAGGGGGGGCCCTGAGACTGAACACATTTGAGAAGACTGCAGCAGGCAAAGAGCCATTTGGCTGAATGGAGTCTGCAAGGCAGCACAAATGCCAGAAACGCTGCAGAGCTGCACCACCCCCCCCAAACAGGCTCCTCTGGGTATTAACACATTCGTATCACAGATGCACTGGCACTATGTCTGCAACGGAGCGAGGGTTCCCTGCTCTGAATATGCAGACAAGGAGGTTTGGCTGTGGGGGTTTGGGATTTTTGGTTGGGTTTTGTTTTTTTTTTTTTTGCTTGTTTCTTTTTCAAAATGTAGAAGACAACACATCACTGCCATTGAAGCGACCAATCCCCTCTCGCCGACAGGGCTGCAGCATAGCCCAGGCAGCACTTTGCAGGGGTGACTGTTGCTAATTCCAACACACCTGCTGTTCAGGGTGGGTTAATGTTTGTCCTTTCCTGAGCTCTGGGGTGCTGGTGGCATTTGGCTTTGCTCAGTTCTTTTTGGTCTTGGGGGTGTCATACTTTCTCTTGCTCGAGTACCACAGCAGCAGTGGGATCCCGATGGAGGGCAGGGTCATCACACCAAAAGCTGCCCAGTCCAGCTAGAAGGAGAAATTGTTAGAAAGAAGTCAAAACAAATCATGTGCAGATGAGTCTTTTAGCCATCAGATCTTCTCTACTCTCAAGCCTTCTGGCTCAAATCCCACAGTGCCAGCTCCTTCACAGAAGTAGCTGGGATGAAAACTCTTTGCTTTTTCTGTGATACTCTTCTGGAGCACTGATACAGATTAATTGCAACCCATGTTGGAGTTTTCCAGGTGACTGCAGCATAAACCCAACACACCACAAACCGGCAAAAAGCCCCTGTGCTGGGTTGCACAGTCGCTGCAGTGCAATTTCAATTACCAACTGAAAGATACTTACAAAGTGAGGAGAGAACCTCCTGTCAAACTCACGCTGAGCCAAGATTCCTCCCTGCCCAGGAGCACTAGTGAAACCAACCTGAAAAAGGTAGGGGTGAGGGGGAAGATAGTATTTGCCACGTTTCCTTCTTGCAACAGAGCCTGTGCAGTGTAAGAGTGCAGGGACATGCATCATCTCCTAACGAGCAGCTCGAAGAGCACAGTCAGGTGTATCTATCGGCTGTCCTATTTGAGCAAGGATCCTATAAATAGTCAACTCACCACAACCTGTCCACCCTCCTGTGCCAGGTATGTGATGGTAGCAGAGGTGAAGTTGAAGTAACCAGCTTTGAGAGGCCGCAGAACCACAGTGTGGGACACATTACTCGCTCTGAGAGCCGTAAGTTAAGGAAAATAGTTGCATTTCATCAAAGGAAGAAAAGTGAAGAGATAGGTGAAGAAGAGCCTTGAACCAGGTGGAAAAGTCACTCCTGATGACAGATCCGAGTCCTCTGTGGTTACAGACATCCAGACCCATCCAAGGCTGATCCAGCTGCTCCCCTTTCCCAGGCAGATGAATTGCACAGGGACCTCGCCCTGTTTGCAAGAAACTTTTTTTACACAGCACCTTCAAGGAGAACAGAGGTTTGCATTCAATGGCCTGCCTGGGGTCTGGCATGCTGGAATTTCAGTGACAACGAATGAAGACAGGAGAGCTACAGGATGCTTAGGGGTAAGAAGGAGCGTTGGGAGAAATTTCAAAACATGAAAAGATATTTCAAAACATGAAAAGATACGGAGCAATCCTGTCCCACTTGACATTGAGCATCCCAGAGACAATGCCAAAATCTTCTGGGGGGAAAGAATCGTCCGACAGCTCCACATCTAAAGCAGCACTAAATGCAAAAAAGAAAGGGATGAGAAGAGAATCTTAGACTTGGCATTCTGCTCACTGGGGACTGCACCAAAGAGGGATGACAGTCCCATACTGACAATTCAGCAGCCTGAAGAACCGATTTTTGAAACATAAAAAGGCACCAATAGAAGATGGGAAGGAGAGTCAAGGTATATTACAGGGAGACTGCAGAAAGAGGAAGGCAAAACTGAGAGAAACTGCAAAAAAGACAGGAAACCAGATGTGAAAGAGAGCTCACGAAGCTAAGAAAGGGAGGCTGCGTGCATGGGGAGCAGAGTGTCACAAGACACAAAAGTAACTACACCATGCTGGACCAACAGCTAGAGCAGCCATGAGGTGAAAGCAGAAAACAGTGAAAGCAGGGACAACAGAACAGGAAGAAAAAGGCAAATTGCAGAGTCAGACCTTCAAGCACTGCTGGTGAGCTCAGAGTTAGGGGGAGCAAAGGTAACAGCACATCATGGAGCACAGAAATAGTCTCACACCCTGCAGACACACACACACACACACACATAACGTTTGCTACAGGTCAGTATTAGAAGCCTGGACAAGGCTTACCTGGAGCCAACATTGTAGATGTTGTACTGCAAAGTCAAGTCTTTGCCCTCCACTGCGTATCTGTTTAATAGAGACTTGGAGGCCAGAAGCCTGGCGCCTTCCTCACAGTGGGCCACGTAAAACAGGGCAAACGCAGTGAGAATCAGGAGCTTCATCTAGAAGCAAAAGAAAATGGAATGTCATTGATAATTTAACTGCAAAAGGAACATGAACAGAAGAACTAAACAAGACAATTCAGGCATTCATGTGTAGTGAGACATGAACAGCTGTATACTTCACAGCAGTATTGATAAAGGATTATCACAAGCTGGCAGAAAGTTACCCTGGCTCCACACAAGTCTGCAACTCCCCCTGAAATACCTGTACACTTTCCTGCAAGGATGTTAAGAAGTGGCACAGTGGTGTCCCAGATGGGCAGGCGTGGAAGAAAAGATGACAGTTTTCTCCCTTCTCAAAGCTCTGGCAAGTATCACTCCCCTTTATCACATCTTAATAATTGGCAAAGGTCTCGGATCACAAAGCCTCTTCTAGTAACTTTCAGAGCAACAGCTTTAGCAATTAACGGTTTCACCAGTTTTAGCAATTAACAGTTAATTGCCATTGCAAAGCATGGCAGCTTTCCAGCACTGTCTTACACAACAGGCTTAGTTCTCCCCCCCATCAAATTCTGTTCTTCTCAGAAAGTCCTAGCTCCTCACTTCCAACATTTGTTATTCTTTCCTATTTCCAGCCACTGAGGTACTACCAACTTCCTCCAGCGGCCTTTTGGTCCCCAGAAGTCCCTGCTTCAGGCCACGTGTCCCAGTTTCCCCGAGCCCAGCATCTCTGGAGCTGCCCTGCTGAGAGGGCAAGGAGACCACACGGTCATTATATGTGCAACCCATTAGGAAACTTGCTAGTGCTTTTAAATGCAAAAACTGCTCACATGTCAGAGCCTCCACCCTCTATGCCAGAGGACCCTTCCTTCCCCTCAATACTCCCCTGCTACAGCCTTCACACCAGCATTTCCCCACCCTAGGCTGATCCTACACATCCACACGGCCCAGAAGACCCAAAGGTAAGCTCAGGGATGTTGCTCCATGCAAAACAAAGAATCGCCCGGTTTCACCGACTGCTGCCTGCAGGAGACCCAGACATCAACACTCCAGCAGCAGACCCCGGCTGGTCCCTCACAAGCCCCTCAAAACCCACGCCCAAACCACCCCCACAGACCCTTCCCAGGATCCTCTCCCCCCCTCCAGAAACCCGGGAACACGCCACCAAGCTCCTGCCCGCCCCCCGATCCCTCCCCACGAAGCCCCCGGCCCCTCACCGTCCCTGCCCCGCGGCGCCCAACGGAAGGCCGAGTCAGCGCAGAGGCAGCGGAATCACCTCAGACCGGAATATGGCGCCTCGGCGGCGCCCCGCGGCACGCTGGGAAATGTTAGACCGCCTGCCAGCGGGGGACACCGCGCCTGCGCAGAGCGCGCCTCCTGCCGCTGCCCTGCCTCCTGCTTCGGGGCTTCCCTCCGGGGGATGAACAACCTTCCGAGAAGCGTCTGCAAAACAACGGCTTTTAGCCCAAAAATGCTACTTATAAACCCTCTGGGGGAGAACACAGAGTACTGCCCCCTGCGTCCTGCCCTACCCCAGGCCCCGCAGCCCCAGGGGAGGGCCCCAAGCCCCGCGGCGGAGCCGCCCCGAGCACGGCAGGTCCCAGAGCGGCAGGGACACCGGGGTTTTGACAGGCGGCAGGACAGGCTTCCACCTGGAAGGTGCGGCTGGAGGAAGGCACCTTGCCAGGACTGCTTCCCCTTAGGGAGAAGGGGACGAGCAGCCTGAACTTGTGATTTGGGTTTGCTGGAGGCCCGTTGCTGAAGTTAGCGCTTTTGGGAGAGAAGACAACAAAGCTGCCAAGCAAGCATGTAACACAGAAACCCAGAAAAAGGCCATACCTCCCCTCCTCCTTTGGCTACTGCTCACGGTTTTCTCCATCTGTTCTTGAGGTTGGTGTGATTCTCCTCTTGTCTCCTTGAAGAGCTCCGGGGAAAAGGGGGAAAAAGAAGCGCCCTCCCCACTTCGCCTTCAGTTAGTGACAAGCATGTAGAGCAGAAGCCCGATGACCACCATGGCTCGGAAGAGCACTTCAATGAGGAGCAGCAGTACGCCTAAGACAAAGATGGCCAGCAGCTCTGCCCAGCTCACCAGTGCTGCCAACTGCATAGAGGCTCTGTAAAGCGATGAGGGAGAAGAGGATGAGAGCAGGGAGGAGGATCTGGGTTAAATTCTGCAAACGTCAGGTGGGACACCTCTCCTCGTGCACAGACCCCAAAACTATACCTTCGTGTATTCGGGATGCTCTGCTTAACTAACCCCACACCAGAGAGGCTCCACCCTTCTGTTTCTGACAGATTAGGAAATGTCCTGACCTCCCTGTTGCAAAACCAGTACCAAAACAGAAAGCCACTGGGCACGATTTTTGGCGCTGGAGGAAGCTGTGAGAGGTCACCTGTTCCCGTGTTTCTCAGGCAGTTGCCTGCAGACCTGCGGTGGGAGAGGGGCCACCAGTCCACACCTCTGCACACATATTCCTACACACACATGCAAACGTGGAAACCGTTCACTAGGCGTGCAGGCTGTGAAAGGGCAAACGGAACCGGCTTTGTGCCCTCTTTCCCTGTAATTAACACGGAACAACTGAACGGGCCTGACAACGTGCACCGTGACAGAAATACAAATACACCTCTCCTGGGCCCCAGCCGCTGGCTCCATGTACCACCTCATACTCTTTATCGAAGCTCCCCGCTCCCAACCTTTGCCGACAGCTCTCCCCACACCCGCTTTCTTCTCTCCCTGTTGAAGCACGCAGAGCTTATCCAAGCTGCAGACTCTGGAAAAGCATCACAGAGCTCAAATCAATGTTAGCCACCTGCCGCTGAGGCAGCGTAACCAAGGGCTGG